CAGCTTTAAATCCAGATGGAGGAAAACATCTTTGTGACCTCTGGAACGCTCAGATTAAATTAAGATTGAGGAAAAAGAGATAGAGCTGGGGAACCTCCTGTAAAAGACTCATCTTTAAATCCAGATTGAGGAAAACAGATCTGACCTCCTCTGGAACACTCATCTTAAATCCAGACAGAGAAAAAACAGATCTTTGTGACCTCTGGAGCACTGATCTTTAAATCTTGGTCAGGGAAAACACAGACAGAGCTGGGTAATCTCTGGGTAATCATCTTAAATCCACATCAAGAAAAACACAGACAGAGCTGGGCAACCTCCTCTAGAACACTCATCTTGAAATCCAGATTGAGGAAAACAGATCTGACCTCCTCTGGAACACTCAGCTTAAATCCAGACCACAAAAACCAGATCTGACCTCCCCTGGAACACTCAGCTTAAATCCAGATGGAGAAAAACAGAGATAGAGCTGGGGAGCCACCTCTAAAATATTCATCTTAAATCCAGGTTACAGAAAATAGAGCTGACCTCCTCTGGAATACTCAGGTTAAATTCAGATGGAGGAAAACATCTTTGTGACCTCTGAAACACCCAGCTTTAAATCCTGGTCAGGGAAAAAGCTGGGTAATCTCTGGGTAATCATAAATTCACATTGAGAAAAACACAGACAGAGCTTGGGAACCTCCTCTAAAACATCAGCCTTAAATCCAGATTACAGAAAACAGATCTGTCTGACCTCCTCTGCAACAAGGGGAACATGCAGAGAAAACCAGATCTTTGTGCCCTCTGGAACACTCAGCTTTAAATCCAGATGTAAAAAAACAGATCTTTGTGACCTCTGGAACACTCAGCTTTAAATCCAGATGTAAAAAAACAGATCTTTGTGACCTCTGGAACACTCAGCTTTAAATCTAGGTCAAAGAAAACACAGACAGAGCAGGGAAACCTCTTCTGGAACACTCTTCTTTAAACCCAGATGACAAAAAAACATCTTTGTGACCTCTGGAACACTAAGTTTTAAATCCACGTTACAGAAAACAGACTTCTGTGACCTCTGGAACACTCAGCTTTAAATCCAGATTACAGGCAACAGATCTTTGTGACCTCTGGAACACTCAAATTTCAATTCAGATGGAGGAAAACACAGCCAGAGCTGAGAACTCCTCTGGAACACTCAGCTTTCAATCCAGATGGATGAAAACACAAGGTTCACACTGCACATCTGGGGTTGAAAAGAGGAAACAACAGGAGACTTTAAGTTTATATCTGGTTCACAGCTAGCAGGAGGGTTTGGAGTTAATCTCACTTTGTGACATTTTTCCTGAGAACTTTCTGAAATACAAAAGTGACCTTGCCCATCACCCGGACAGCATCCCATCATTTCTTACAGACAAACATTGCAGCACCAAACTGCTGGGTGTTCATACCCACCCCAGTCCCAGGCAGAAAAGAGCAATAAAAACCAACTTTTGAAGTGGCCAGCACTGAATTTCTGGTGAGACTTGCAAGCTGAGCCCACAAGATGTCACTGTGCCCCCTGAAATGGGAGATAATTTTATTTCCTGCACATTCATCCTGTGGAATTGGCCTCAATCCCCCTCTGGCAGCCCCAGGGGCTGCTCAGGATTTCTGCTCCAGTTTCATTTCCCTGCTGGAGCTCTCCTGCTGAGCAGGGGGAGAGATGATTCTGCCTCCAGGTGAGGCTGGAGGGGCTCCCTGGCCAGGTTTAATCTGCTCTGCTGGGTACCATGGCTCTGAAATCGTGAAAACCAGAGCACAGACTTGTCTGGGAACTCAGTCTGGGATAAATTTCTCTGTTGGTAAAATCTAAATCATGAAACCAGACTAGCTGAAGTATGTAACACCTGCTACACTGCACATCACATTGTGCAGAGGCACAGAAATACAAATATGGCATTAAAAAAACCCCAAAATTCATCTTTTCATTCTAAAGAGCAGTTTTTATCCAGTAATATCTATGTTGGGGGAAACAGTACAAAACTGCAAATAGCATATTTCCATGAAATGTACTTGGTAATTAAAACTACTACAGGGATGGGTTTTCTCCCTTCTCTAGTAAGTTTTTTTTGCCAAAGAATTTGCAGTTTTCTGCAAAGAAGAAAAAGCCAGTGAATCTTAATTTCATTCAATATTTTCCTCAACCACCTTCATTTTGACCTTTCTGAGAGCACAGCCCCTGGCTCGGGGACACATTTATCATTTTTGAGACATCACCTGGCATTATCCACTATTTGTGCCTCTGCAGAGCACGAGACAGAACATTGTTACTGTCATGAGAGAGAGGAGAGCAGGCTGAAGCTTCCAGAAAATGCAATTAGTGATCAATAGCCATAAAAATCCTTTGAAAAACCAACACAGAAATCAGCCTCTGAGGCTGGGCATAGGAAACCACAAAACTCCTGCAATAAGAAAAGAAGAATTCTGTGCTGCCTCCAAGCTGTAAATCAACACCTGGGTAAGAACAATACATTCCTAAAAGCAAATAAATTTTTTTTCTTGCACTTCTGAGCTTCGTTGTAGCCCAGAGTGCTGGGAAAGAGCACAGAGGGAACCACATTTACCCTCCTGTGCCAAAGGAATCCCCCCCTTCTGATCACAGCAAGCACTGCAGGATTATTTCTAGAATTTCTTGTTCTTGCACAGAAAACCCTCCCACTAAAATTTCCCATTTCAGTTCAGATGGAACCAAACTTACCCCAGGAGAATTCCCAGTCTGTCCCAGCCCAGCAATGCTGGGAATACCATGTGAAACCTCCCTTTGGGACAGCTAAAATGAACCTTAGACCTCTTCCTGCTCATCCACCCCATAAAGTTCACATTCCAAATGAAGGTTTAAAATTTAACAGGACTCAGGTATTGCAGCTCATTGAAATACAACACCTCAGCTCGTGATTGTGAGCAATAAAAACTCCGAGAAAAATCACTTTTTACCCACTTGTCCCTTCAGCATGAGCTGTTCACCACAGGAGTGCTTTGCATAAAACTTTGGGAGCTTTTCACTCAACATAAAATTATTTCATGCTTCTGGTTATTAGGCAGGGAAGCTGTTAAATTCACTAAAATGCTCAGAGTGGTTGAAATGCAGAGCCTGTTGTGTTCTGATGTTTTTCAGTCCATTTGAGGATAACCTGCTATTAAATGTTCCTTTGGAATCGTGGAATGACAATTTAAAATATGGGATAATGAAAGGAGCTAGAGAAAAGTGGGATTTGTACTGAGGAATAACACAGCATGAAGTATTCAGACAGAATTTTGCATCCACAGAGAAGGTCAAAACTGGAAAAAACCTCTCAGGAAATCATCAAAAACAAACTTGTGTCATTCCAAAGCCCAGCAGTGATAAACTTGAATTTGGACAAGGTTTAAATCTTCAGGTGCACAAGCCCAGGGTGTCCCTTTTGTTCCTATAATTTCTAAAACAATAAAAGTATTTTAAGCTTTGTGCCCTGCGGTTTTTCCCTAATTCTCATGCAAACTCATTCGTATTTTTACTTCAGAAAATGAAGAAAAATCTTCAACACAGATTAACCAGGCCATTTAAAAATTAAATCTTTGAGGATTCTGCTTCCAGCACTCCTCCACTAAGCAATTTATTTAGGTAATCCAAGTACAAAAAAAAACATTTTTCTACTGACTAAACCCAGGTGTTCTGATCCCACACACTTTGTTTGAAGCAAATATGAATTTGCTGTTGTTGCCTTAAACATTTCAATACTCCTCTTGCACTTGGGAAGTTATGAGCTATAAACTAGATTTCATACTATTATTATTTATTAAAAAAGGCAGAGAAGTCTGATTTTATTCAGTGATTTCAGTCCCTGAAGGAAAAGGCAGAGCCAGGATCTCTGATTTTATGCATGAACAGGCTTTGAGAGCTGAGCAGGTCTCCCAGCAGAAGATATTTATCACAATTTCACAAAGTTCAGGCACTCAAGTCAATGTTTGCACACCAAGAACCTTCTGGAACTCCTGTGCCCTCCAGGTGTGGGTGATAAACCCACTGTGCTTTCACATCTCCAGGTGGATTTTTCTGTATTATTCTCCAGATAGAATTTTAATCCAAGGATTTTTTTATTTTTTTTCCCCACAGTGAAGGATGAATGGGATAAGGGAAGAGCTGTGTCCTGGAAAATGGGATCAGTTAAAGAGTTTGGAACATTATCCCAAAAAATCATAGATATTAGTGAGAATTCCAGGCCTGAACCCAGATGAGTATTTTGTATTCACTTTGTTTAATTAACCCCTTTATTCATAAGGTTTGGGATTTAGTATTACCAGTTTAAAAAAAATAAATTAATAACTGACAATTGGCAATCAGGGATATAAATTCTTCAGTTGCTTTCAATAACTTTGGCAACAGTTTTAAACTAAAATCTACAAAAACGTGTGAATATTTTCACCACCAGATTTGGGAACTGAAAGATAAGCAGGTTTTAAATCAAACACATCAAGGTTTCACTTAAAACTTATAAATAAAGGCTTCTTTTTATACTCACAGCTGCAAGCACAAAGACTCGACTCTACCTGCCTTAAAATATATAATAAAATAATTAAGGTGCCTGAAAAAAACAGCCAGCAGAAAGAGGATGGCAGTGCCATGCCTGGTGTGAGTTTTGGCTACTTCCAAACCGGCAAAGAAGTTCTCATC